GAAAATTACTTAAAAACTAAAGCAAAGGAAAGTACTTCACCAAACACCTGCAAGTATGATGCAATTAGTTCACCAATGACAACACATGATCATTTTGTTATTATCCAATTTAAAAAACATGGAAAAGGACAACTGAGTATAAAAAAGGCATAAAGATGAAGTTTAAAATTAATGAAGGGGCAAACAAGCAAGAAATGATGAATTTTATAAAAACTAGTTTAAAAACAGAATAATTGAAATAAAAATATCCCAGGCAAGTATGATTACAGAAACAAAGGAAGGAAGCACTGAAAATTAAAGTAACTATGAATGCAGTAGGATTAAATTTAAATGAGAACACTTTTTACAAATACTTTAGTAAGAATTTGGAAAGAGCAAGATGACTTTCTATAAAAATAAACTGCCCCAAAAGTGGGATAAAGTGACAACAAAACAAAACAAAAATCAAAACAAAACAAAAACAGAAATCCCTTGACCGTAAGATACTTGAACGTCTGTTAATGTCCTCCGCTGGGAAAGGTGGCAGACTATAGTAGTTTCTCAAATTCACACTACTGAACTTTCTCAAAATTGTTAACCTTAGTTATTTTTACTCCTCCAGATCAGAGCAAATTCAATAACTAGGAATAAATTGAATTAGTGTAAAATACAGCAAACATATTTAAATTACGAATTAGATACAAATTTATTAGAAAAGGTATTACCTTGGTGTATTAAAAGATGAATTCCATGGAAAAGTATAGAGTTCAAGGAATTTAGCAGTAGCGCAAAATTATAAAATATAAACATCTATCAATAAAATATGGAATCAGTAACACTAAACACTAGAAAGTAGTGAAAATCTCTATATCTACAAGTTTTTAATAAAAAATAATTTAAACCAAGAACAGAAAAAATAAAAATGATTTATTAAAATATATCAAATATTATTATCAAAATAAAAATAATAAAATAATTGCTATTAAAATTTTGCACATATTAGATATGGTTACTTTACTAAGATAGATCAAATATTTTACTAAACTTAAAATTCTAAAATAATTGCTACTAAAATCATGTACATTTTAGATACGGCTTTCTTCACCACCATCCAATATTGTTTACTAGGTTCCAGCTAATCAGTATGACGAGAAAGCAAAATATGTAAAAAATTAATTGTATTTATATTTGTACCTTAGACCAACAGAGTAAAATAAATCTTCAACTGATTAAGAAAAAATAATAAATGGCTAGGCACAAAACAAAGATTTAGAATTCTGTTAAAAAAACAATGAGAGCCTGTGGACAATTCTAAAAGAAGGTGACTATGTGAAAGCACTATGACATACCTAACTGAAGGCAGAGGTCAGTTTCAACCGATGACATGACTGTTTGAGGGCCATACTCACACAGTCTTGTCCTAAGAACATGGGGTACATTGCCCACAGCAGAGTTGGGGCCACCAGAGCACATTAAAGTTGAGAGAATTCAAGAAAGGAGAAGGAGCCACAAAGGCAGAAGCCTCCAAATCGGCATTCACATTCCCCTCAAACACCTGACCTCTCCAATCCTGGACAGGAAGAGAAACACTCAAATAAAGCTTCAAATAACTCATTAATAAATTCAGAGTGATTTAAGGATAGTTAATTGACTACTATGATAGAAGTTAATTATCTTCAGAGAAAGATAACAGAATCTAGTAAGATAACTAAATATATCATCCACAGTGTAGTACACAAATAAGTGACTATACATGCAAAAAGACAGGAAATGGTCCAGAGGGAAATGAGATATAAAGATAAACTTACGAAGAACTCAGATTATGGAAAGTAGGCAAGGATTTCTAAATAACTCACAAGTATGTTTAAGAATCTTTAAGAAAATGCATATTTGGATACAATGATAGGCCAAAGAAAAATCTGAGAACTAAACACTTCCATCTAAAAACAAAAAGCATCCAGAGTAAAATGGCACACTGTACATAGGAGAATAACAATAAGAATGACCTCCGATGTCTCATCAGGAAAAACCAAAAAGATGAAGACAGAAGAACACTGAACATTTTATAAATGCTGAAGAAAAGGAAATCTGCAGACTTAGAATTCTAAATCCAGTGAAAACATCTTTGAAAATTGATGTCTAATATATTTGAAAATTACTGTAAAAAACACTCATTAAGTAAATTTCCTAAGTAACAACATCCATTAATTCTTTTTTCCAAAGTAAATGCAAGATTAGGATTATTTTACTGGGTATATAATATAAATTTTGACATAGTAACAGTTATCAAAACAGAGCAATTGTATTTAAGGATCAGATAATTAGCAATAAATAGCTAAGGAATCAAAAAACGATCCATGTTTGTAAAAAACTTAATATATTCAATTTAATGAAACAATTAATTATTCATTAAATGATACTGATATTTCAACTATCAAGGATAAATTATTTTCATAAAAATACAACTCTTGAAGAATTAAAATGTAAATGTACAATTTTAAACTAGAAAAATACACAAAGAAAAGTTTATATACTTTTCATATTAATGTGAGATTTAATCAAAACAAATGATGACATATTTGGCTTCATGAAACTAATATAACTCAGTGGTAGAGCACTTGCCCAGCATGTACAAGGCTCTTCGGTCTGATCCCCAACACCACAACAAAAAAAGAAGAAAGAAAATCTAAATAAAATTTTTGAAAAACACCTGAAGAAAATATTTGCATTATATCACAAAAAATATTAATATCCTCAGCAAAAAAATGAAGAATGTAAAATTATCTACTGAAAGTGAACAACTCATCAAAAAATAACTAAACATTATGAACAGATACACAGAAGTCTGAGTAATAAATCACAAGCAAACATGACAATATGTTCATCACAGGAAGCAATAAGAATGGCATGTTTATTGAGAAATGTTTTCACCCTTATGTTTGAAGGGTTGTGAATTTTTTTAGAAAACTAAATATGAAAAGAAACTTAATTTGCCCATAAATTTCTAGCAATATATGTTGCATACTTTTTAAAGAATCAGTAGGAAAGACTACACAAGCAACAAGAGTTTCTGCAGCATTAATGTATAATGCAAAATTCTAGAAACACTGGCCATCAATATGGAAAAATATTTGATATAGTACTCCATATGTATTGTTACACAATTTTAAAAGGGATGAATACAGTATAATTACATTTTTTTGTTTTAAAAAAATGGAAAGAGAAAAAGCACATGGGCATGTATGTACTGTATATACTGTATAAACACACACCTTTGAAAACACAGAAAGGTGCACAGATGGTATTACAGAAAATAACTGGTATTGGAAAGTGAAGTAGCTCATTTATTTCTTTTCCCATGAACACCTCTACATTCTAAATTGTTAAAACAAACAAGCATTAATTGCTTTTAAAATTACTATGTCAAAATTACTTAGTTACACAAAATCATATGATATATTTTAGTAACACCAAATATGTATGCCTTAAGCCCCAAATAATATTTTTACAATTACATGCTTAAGAATTCTATTCTATAATGACAATTATAATTATTATAATAATTCAGCTAAAAATAATATGGTTCAAGGAATAAAAGAAAGCATTTGGGTTTCAGGAAGCCATAACAATACGAAGGCCATATTTTCCTAAACTTATAACTATCATCAAAAAAAAAAAAAAGAGAGAGAACTGTGAACAAACACTTGTTTCTGCAGATGTCAGTACAAGAACTACACATAACCTGATGGATAGAAGAAGTAACAGCACATATCTCACAAGGGGAAGGCGGAAGAGGATGTGCCAGAACACCATCTAGGCCCTTCCCTAGCACTGACCCCTTGAATGGTCCTGGGAGGGGCCCTGTTATATGTGAAAATATGAAATATGCTACATGTGAAAATAAAATGTCTTATATTTCTCTTTTAAAAAATCCCCAAGTTGTATAAGCTTCAAGTTCTAAAAAATTTGGATATGTCTGTTCAAAGGTAAAGTGAATCACAAATAATTGTTGCTTAATCAAAGACATCTATAAAATGATATTTATTCTTGAAGTGGTAAACTCTATTAGATATTCATGTCCATTTATAAAAACTAATGTGCTGCATTTGGGGTGCATGAATAAATTTCTTCCAAGAATTTGAAAAAAAGAAACTGTGCTCTGGAAAGAATGAATCACAGAAAGAACTAAGACAGCAGACTGGCACCAAGCCAATAAACAATGTTCATAAACTTAACAACAGAGCTGGCATCGCTGGAGATGGACTGCTCAGACCTGGAAACACCACAGGGAAGTAACAGCATAAAAACTGGTGGCAACCACCAATGAACTGCCCTGGGCGAGGCAGATAAGCAACAGATCAGTGGCCAATTCATGAAGAACATATCTTACATGGTTCTGAATCCCCTAGGCAAGATGCTGGTCCTCAGACAAAAAAGCATCAGACTATTTTAGCTCAATGCCATTAGAAGATACAATGAATCTAATTTTACTTGTTCTGATTGCATGTTCATCAACAAACTTATGATTGCTACTTGGCTTCCTAAACGATTCTGATCACAAAAAATGCCAATATTTTTGTCCTTGTGCTTCAACATGTTTGAAGATCAATAAAATGAAATTCCAGTTTTATATATTAATCTCATTAGCTTCATGGATAAGATCTGGATTCTGAAAAGTGAATCCATTTTCATGTACTTTGGGGTCTAGGAGGTTTTGATCAAACCCCATGCTCTGGTGAACTCAAGGCAAAACCTTTCCCTTTAAAGGCACCTGCCTTGGAGAGGCTAGTTTTCATCTCCATTTTAATTATCCTACCAGTACATTATCAGAAATTTTGCCCCTGCCAAAAAGAGGGAAATATCCAAAATAAACATTTAACAATATACACATGAAACAGAAAAGCAAATCATCTTACATTTCTTGTGTCAAATAAAAACTTATGCCAAATTACATTTCTTAAATATCAATTAATTCCAGATAATACTTCCTGGGCTTCTAAACTTTGTAAAATCATTTTTACCTATGCGACTGATTATGGAGATTTAGAGATCCAGTCTGGTACATCTCTTCCAACTGTTTCCTGTTCCCAAAGTAAAGGGCAAGGTCAGTGGCGATGATGGCTTTGCGGATGATCTCCAGCACCTGCTCGTACTCACTGGAGCTCAGGGTGGAGAAGATATTGTGCCCTTCCAACTGCAGAGAAACACAAATGAACACCACAGTGAGCACAAAGCTCCGGCCCAGACATCTGCAGCTGTTTGAAACAGCAGTCAGTGATGACACTTGGCACACCAATGACAACTTTGGGAACAAAAGGAGAGTCTGACAGGACTGCTGTGAGGACTCGGTTTGGACTCTCCACATGCCCCAGCGAAGCTTCCACTTAAAGAACTATTTTAACTGTAGAGACATCCATCATTCACTATCACAAAACCCCAGGGACTTAAATATATTTAGTTTTTGTATATTTCTGGTAGTTATTAGGACTAGAAAATGTAGAATATTTAGGTTGAAGTTTTTTTCTCTTAAGGTAATTTCAGAACTTAATGTTTATATCACACTGGAACTCATGGACTTCAAAAGGTATCTATAAGCATGTGCACTGCTTGTTGTCACAAGTAAGTAGCAATCAACTTTTATTAAAAGAAAATGTGCCACAACTATCCTAACATTTATTCACACATTATAAACTCTTTACAGGCATCAACACATCCACATGACACACAAGCCAGCAGAGATTCCACAACTACTAGCCACTTCTGTTCCCCTGGGGAGACAGGAAGAGATACATCCTCACCCGACTGAGCACAGAGCACTGTAATTCCATTCTGTTCTCAGAGATACTCTTCTAGCAATAAAATTTCATAAAACTTTTCAGAATAGTTTCTTCCTCTGAGAATTTTAAGCACTTTTTTCCAGTAAAAGTTTTTATTCAAACTAAAAAAAAGGCTGAGATGATTATGATGTATTCAATTTGTGGGTTCATCAATTTTTAATGATTTTTAAATCAATAGTCAATATTCCTATGATAATATTCCTGATTTTATTTCACTTAACCTACACTTATTGACTGATAAAACACATTACAAACTTGAAATTATTAAAGTATGCTTCTTTTTAAAAAATATTTATTTTTTAGTTTTAGGTGGACAGAATATCTTTATTTTTTATATTTATGTGGTGCTGAGGATCGAACCTAGTGCCTCATGTACACTAGGTGAGTGCTCTACCACTGAGCCCAGCCCCAGCCCATAATATGCTGCTTTACAAAATCAGACATCACACTAAGGCACTGTGTGCTTCATATTCTGAAGAACAGCTGTATGTGACCATTTGTTTTCAAACATTAGAATCTTCCTATGCAATTTGCTCTTGAGATTTTAGACATAAACGCATACAGCAAATGGACTCAGTTCTTGTAGGTAATTTCAGGACAACTGTAATGAGAAGACCTTAAATGTATAATGTCCCGAGCTTATAAGCACTTTCCAACACGTGATTTCACTTTCAAATTATAAAATTAGCCTTTGATATCTATCTAAACTGTGCTGAAGTGTTAACTACGATGCTTCTTTGAGTGAAGGGAAAATAGTGCTTACAGAAGCAGGTTGTGTTTGCAGTTTGCAGCGGAGACATTCGCATTTGAAGCTCCTTTCATGAAAACAACAGGGCCTGGTGATGCGATGAGGAGGAGCTAAGAAGGAGCATGCAAAGGCTGAGTTCCCAAGTGGAGGGTGCAGGAGCTGCTGGGCTTGGGACACTCCAGCACAGCTAGCTGGTGACTGTTGGGACAGCACTGGGCAGGGGGCATGACTCCATTGCTATCAACCTTGACTCTCCACGGCTGTGTTGTGGGAATCTCTAGAAGGAAGTCTTCACTCTGGTCCATGCTATGGGCTCTGCTTTCTCTGACTTGATGAAAACCCCAGTGAAGCAGCTGCCTCTGCGTCAGCGTGTCCTGCTTCAAGACCTGCGTGTGCCACTTCACAAACACGTCTCATGTTAGAGTGCGTTTGGTTGGCTTACCAGAAGGTCTCCTGAAGGGATTTGTGCTGGCACACTTCATGCTTCCTGACCTGTTTTTGTCTTTTATTTCCTCTATCACAAACACAAAAATGATCTGTTCAACTGTAATACAAAAAAAATATCCTAGTATGCTGTTGAAATTTTTTTAAAAATTCTCTCTAAAATACAGACTTCTTAGCCTGGGTTCTGTAAGTTCAGAGTCTTGAGCTTGCTGCACGTCTTCTTGTGTTTTCATGAGATGATCAAGTGTCTGTGAGACAAGAGGATCCATTTTAATGGATCTGTGTATTCTGTTGGCTACTTCAGATTCATTTTTCCCTTTACTACTTTTCAATATTAAAGGAAACTGGCTTGGAAAAGTTCAGTAGAAGCCTTTATAATGAAAAGATGTAAATAGGGCTTTAACATTTTGCAATAGTAAATGGGATGAATAAATAAATAAACAATTCTTTAAAATTCTTTAAAAGAATTTAAAATTCAAAATTCTTTAAAAGAATCTAGCAAAAATGAACTAAGGGAGATAATAGCAACCAAATATGCCAGAAAGAGAAACTGTTTAACTGTCCCCACCCCAACTACTACTACTTCTTCTTCTTCTTTCTTTTCTCCTCTTCCTCCTTCCTCTCCTTCTCCTTCTTCTTCTTCTTCTTTCTTTTTTTTTTTTTTTAAACTGTACTAGGGATTGAGACCCAGGCCTCACAGGTGCTAGGCAAATGCTCTACCACTGAAAATATTTTTTAAAGTTCAAATTTCACATTAGTTAACACACAATAAAACCCCTTAAAGTGACATAATAGTTGTATACATCAATGAATAAGTTTATTATTCTTAATTCCAGATTACATAGATTGAAGTTGATGTTGGTTTAATTTAGTTGATCCTATTTTACATTAAATCAAGCATGAAATAGCAGACTTCAGATTCTTTATACCCAGGAATATTTCAAAAACTGTGAACTGGGTTAACAGTATGTTATCTTTATCTCTGCCAGAGTATTTGAGTGGGCTGTTTGTAAATGCTCAGAGCAGCTGAGCTCCGGAGATGGTAGAGAGCTGAACACTGCTGGAATTGCTCTGATGCTGAGAGATCACCCAGGGCCCACCTGAATGGGTGCTCCTTGAGTCCTCTCCAGCTCTTGGGGTAATTCTAAGCACCTCCTCCACAGCTGTGTCCTTCCCTCCACAAATGGAAACCCCACGATCTGACTTCACTTATTCAGCAGATATTTAGTCTGCAGTGTTCCATTTTATGTGTGGACGTAGTAGTTTAGTACCCACTATATCCAAGGTCATAAAGAATAAAAGTTGGTTTTCTGAGGAGTTCATAGTTGGTAGAAAGGTAAGGGTATGAGTATGCAATTAAAATAGAATAGAACATTCTCTGTATTTGAGCTCAATGAAGGAGACCATGTGAGGCTTTTCCTGGGAGAGGACACAGATACTACAGGACAAGCAGAAGCAGCAGCAGCCTGTGATATGGAGCTCCTGAGACTTCAGAAATCATGATATTTGAAGAAAAATCATAAAAATTGCTATACAACCAACGCAAATTGAATGTAATAATCTAAGTCCAAGTTTTCAAAAGGCATTAATGTATTAAAATATCATCCTGGAGGGCCAGGTGCAGTGGCACATACCTGTAATCCCAGCATCTCAGGAGGCTGAGGCAGGATCACAAGTTTAAGGCCAGTAACTTAGTGAGGCCCTAAGCAACTAAGCATGTCTCAAAATTTAAAAATGTTTTAAACAGGGCTGGGGATGTGGCTCAGTGACTTGAGTGCCCCTGGGTTCAATCCCCAGTACTTCCCCAAAAATTTATCCTGGAGGTAATAAGGAACAATTGATAGTTTTAAGTTAGGTGATAGCATGAGGATTGTTTCAGAAAAACTGCTAATACGTCAAAACAAGATAGGAACAGAGACTGATCCATCAGTCTTATTTTCAGCAAGTTTTAAAATATTACTATTAATCACAAATAATCTCCCCCCAAACTCTATGCTGTTCATCCCTAAAGGAAATTCTTTCAGCAGGGCCACAACACCTAGTTTCTACATCTGGATTGCCAACCAATCCAGGCTTTGACCTGGCAATCCTGCCCTAAGTGGGTTGAAGATTCCTGTTCCAGGAAGCCACAGGGCTGGGCTAGATCATTCAGATGTTCTGGCACAAAAAGTGTGAAGTCAATGATACAACACTCTGCGTCGAGCATCTCATGTAACGATGCTTTTAAAATACACAGAGTGCTTGTTTTGCTGTTTAATCACCTACAGCTTCAAACCACAGGTTAGGAAGCACTGCAGTATTTGATTAAGAATACAGGCTTTGGGGACCAAACACCCCCTGTTGCTCATCCTGTTCTCACTAGCCATGTGACAAATGGACAAATCTCTTAATCTCTTTGATGCATTTTATTCTTATTTTTTAAATGAAATGAACAAAAATAATCTTATAGGAATATTCTAAACAATTGAATGTATTAAAATATGCAAAACACACTTACGGTTCACAGTAAGTACCCAATAGATAAAATGAGGGTGGTGGTGATAATGATAAAACCCACCAGCATGATTTAAGAGCCAAGAGTTAAGGGAAAGAGAGAAGGAAAAGCAAATGAAGAAACAAACAGATATGCTCCAAAATGAGTTTGATGGCCAAAGACCATTTCTATTCATTGGCAGAGAAGGAGAGAATATAAGCCAGCCCCCAGGTTATACATTTTAATTTATTAGTAAAGGTCATGTTGTATGCAAGTACTATTTTGCTATTATTGAAATAGACAGCAGTAAATTCTATGAATGGAATGAATTGGAAGACTCTAGCTGATATTCATAAATATTATTGCTATAAAATGTAATGAAAAAGTCATGGGATCCCAAAATACACATAGATAACTTTCTGAAATTTTATCATGTTTCAAAATCATTAGATAAAATTGAAGATTAATAAGAATACTGTCTCATAATGAGACTAAATATTCCTAATTAGTTCAGTTTCTAAAACTTGACTTTTGAGAACTTAACAGAGTATTTTCAGAGGGCAAAGGATAGAAAGTGGATAGTTTCAATATTCAAAATGATCAGTAACATCTCATTAGAAAATAGAATAAGCTGATTTAATACAGCAATATTAATGCTTCTCTCACAAGGGTTAAAATACGAACATTATAGGTAAGAATACAAAGTCACCTGCTTCCTTGGATGTCGATGGCCACACAGTATAATCTCGCTGGAAGGCACCTCACTGGCCTTCTGCTCCTGGGCCACTATGAGAGCCCTGTGCCCCGGGGGACATAGCCACTTCCTTCTCCTACGTGAGACCTGGAGTTTCTACCCTCCAAGATTTGCCCAGTTGTCCTGCCCACTCTACTCCCCCTAACCCACACTGTACCTTCACAACCCCATCTCTGCACAGAAGGACAGACCCAGAGCTTGGTATAGACACGAGCAAGGGGCACCCACTGTCTTCACCAATTTACAAAAATTCAAAGGAATTAGAAAGCTATGCTTATAACAGAAAATTTTAATACAGAATTAAAAAAAAAAACTAAGTCATACATATGTTTGAGACACCCAGGGATCATGGAAAAGGGGCATAATGCTGTGCCCTGCTCTATGGGAATTCCATAAATGATATCACCAGAGAAATTAAAGCACAACCTGAACCTAAAAAATAAGAAGGTGGTTCCAGAAAGAGGGAGGAGAGCAGCACAGGCGTCTGGCAGATACCATGGTCCTGCTACAGCAGAGCCCATTCATAAAAGATTTATATATCAATTCTAAAACCGGGAATTCATTCCTAAGCTTTAGAGAGCCACTGATGGCACTGTCACAGGAGAATACCACCTCAGGCATGGATTTGGAGGATAGGTTTGAGGGACAGGCCTGGAGAAAAAACGGTAGGTAGGGAAAGGCAGTAGAACAGAAGAGCATGAGACTGGAATGAGGGGTCGAGTAGGAAAGGTGGGGACAGGCCCTCAGGAAGCTTCAGTGGCCAGAGGGGCCCTGGCATTCACTGAGGACTGAGCAGGAACTTCTGACTTCAGAACGTCCACTGTGTCCTCAGAGTGGCAGGCTCACTCACAGGAGAACCAGCCGAGAACAGGAAGCTCAGTGAGAGCCAAGAATGTGGTCTGCCCTTCTCTCTGTGCTTTACAGGTCTCCTTATCATGACTTACCTCATACCTCGTCTACTGCACCCTTCTCACTCTGACAGTTGTACTCTCCTGTTCTCTGCCTGCCCACCCGAGAGCTGTGGGTATGAGTGAGTCAGAAGGGTAGTTTTAAGATGCATTTGACAACTGCCTGCTTATTGCTGCTGCTGAGGTGGCCAGTAGTATCCTTCTGCTTGCCCAGACTACCCAGCAGGTGACACTGGGACCCAAAATGGAAATCAGCACTCACAGAGCCCTGTGGGTGCCCAAACGGGAACCATTTCCCAACATGATGCAGTACACTGAGCTGGGTATCTTTTTTATCTGGCTATGCAGATGGATAGTTCCAGCTAGACCCACAGTCATTTGTGACAGTAGTAGCTCAGGGGGTCTGGCTGCTCCACACAGCTTCTGAATCACAGGATTAGTTTTAGTCTATCCTAGTGGCAATCTGCTTTTTAATGCTGGCCTACTTCAAAGATAATTCTATTATATTAAAATAGGCTTTCTATAGGAATATTATGAAATCTATTAAAATTCATTTGCAGATTAAACTACTAGAAGCACTGCCATCATCAAACATATGAATTTACTTAGGATATAGGATGTGAATTCAGTGAGTTCTAACTGAAGGCATACTGATGTCATTTCCAGAATCCATCCTTCTAGTTGTACAAAAACATACCTTCAAATAATGAGTGAGTGAAGTCAAAGTAAATATAACTTCGATGAAGTTCTACAATGTTCACCTACTTACAAAAAGCGTGACTTATATATATTTCTAAACACACCTTCTATCCTCATTAAATTTCTAAGTGTGCTGCATGTATGCATGCATCTATTCAAATATACATCATTTATAAAAGAAAGGACTAATGCTCACATACAGCTCTCAGGGGCAGAACTCATCTATAAACAAGTGCAACATCAGCCACTCTGCTACTAGGGGTTATAGATTGAAAAGAACTAAAATATCTAACACTCCATATCTAACACCTCTTTCGCTTTTTACCCAGCAGGAAATCAGAGTAGCAGTTGCACATCAGGAATTTCATCATTTACCTTCTCAGTGCCTAGACAGCTAAGTTTAGTCGGGTTTTAAGGTTTGAGCATGCAGTACTACCAACCCTTTGGGCACACAGGCCAAATGAGGAGCACTAGAGAAGCCTTAGAGAAGCTGAAGGGAGAAAGTGATACCGGGCTGTCCAGAGGGAAGCAAAAAACTGCGCCAAGTGGAAAAAGCCTTTCTGTTTGCCCTCTGTCCATGGACAGCTACCGCTAGAGTCACTGCTGGTACTTCTCCAGGTGCCTCTGGAGACTCAAGACTTCCTGTAGACACGCCACCCAGAACACCCATACAGATTCCTTTTCCTTCGTTAGGTGCTGGCAGCAGGAGGGAAATACAGGGTCCACCGTCCTTAAACCAACACAGGTCATAATTTAAAAACTCTCTCTGTGATAGGATTCAAACCATTTTGACACAACAGCTACCTTGTTACGCTGAGGCTGAGAAAAAAGGTTTAAGAAAGAAGAAGCATAACAAGTTTTACTGAAAAGAGTTCTACCATCAATTAGAGCAATCACCAGAAACATCTTAAAAGCAATAAAATAAAAACCCACATGCAAGAAAAGATAAAAGGAATTCAATGCACTTAAAAACCTTGAATTTACCTAACTTTTAAGATGCTGAATACATTCTGGTTTCAAGAATATGATAATCCATATAATTAAACTATGTAAAATGAAATTTGCTTTTGGAAATCATATATTATTAATATAACCTGTGGAAAACAAATGTAATTGCAAAATATATATATTCAACATCTTTGTCAAGGATTTTTTTTAATTCAAAAGATCTACATAATCATTTAGTTATGACTATAAATATAAGATACCACAATAAAATGAAACTGCTGTTTCCCAGTAGGCCTAACAACATTCCCGTCTCACCTAGGAAGCATCAGCACCTCCCAAGAGGCCCTGGGCATGGGCCCAATGGGCAGGGCTCACCTGCAGGATGGACACTGTCTGGGAGAAGTGGTGCTGCTCCATGGTAGAGGTGGAGTAGAGAGCTGCCAGTGGGTGGTCGAACTTCTGCAGGTAGCTGTTACTGAAGCCCCTGTGGTCCAGGTCATGACACAGACAGGCGATCAGCAGTCCTTTACGCTTAAAAAATAAGGCAGAGATGTTCAAAACATCGAAATGAGACAGGAGAACACCTGCAGCTCACTTTCACATTTATTTCTGCCTTTAATATATTCAACACCCTTGGGAATATTTAAAACTTCAGGGAATCAAACTTCTCTTAACCTCTTTGTTTTTCTGCATATGAACTTGAGAGACAAATTATTATTGAGTCTTCCTGCTCAGCTCTAGAAGCAAGTGCAGGAGGTATCAAGTGTTCTGAAGCACCGTGAATGAAGCAGATCTGCACAAGGAGAGGGCAGCTTCAGTTCTCTTTCATTCAAGACCAATCTGATGCTAAATTCTAACAATGTTATTGCTATTATAAACAATGAATATAATAAGTTATTGTTTGGCCTGTAAAAATGGCAAATTATGTAGAAAACTTTAAAAGGGCTATAGAGGATCAAGGAAGACAGGCTAAATATTACATAAAGTAGTCAGAACAGGCCTCAGGAAGGTGGTCAGAAGCAAGAAGGTGTAGGAAAGAGCACAGCAGAAGGGAATAGGAGAGCACTTCCTGAGAGAGGTCTGAGGGAAGACAGGATATAGTCCTATCCAAGTGACGGGGGATGACTATGGGGCTTTTAGCAAAACAGTGTCATCATCTAATCTTTATTTTTTATTTTTTCCATATTTTTATTGGTGCGTTATAGTCGTACACGGGATGGGACTTTTATTACATATATTTCTACCTGCACACAGTGCAGCAATCTGACCTGGCCCTCATCCTTCCCCCATCACTTCCGCTCCCCCCACCCCTGGTCCCTGTCCTCCACTAATCTACCTTTGATTTTCATGACATTCTTCCCCCCTTTTTCCTTTTCTTTTCTAGCTTCCACATCTGAGAGAAAACATACAACCTTGGACCTTCTGAGTTTGGCTTACTTCACCTAACATAAAGGTCTCGTGTTCCATCCACTTTCTTGCATATGATATTTTTTTTTTTTTTTTTTTTGCTACTAGGGATTGAATTCAGGGGCACTTGACCACTAAGCCACATCCCCAGCCCTGTTTTGTATTTATTTACAGACAAGATCTCACTGAGTTGCTTAGGCCTCACTTTTGATGAGGCTGGCTTTGAACCTGCAATCCTCCTGCCTTAGCCTCCCAGAGCCACTGGGTTACAGGCATGCACCACCATACCCAGCCTCATTTTTCATTTTACAACTCCATTGTGTATATACATCACGTTGTCTTTATCCATTCATCCATTGATGGGACACCTAGGCTGGTTTCATAGCTTGGCTATTATGAATTGCACTGCTATAAACATGGATATGTACTTATCACTATCTTGTGATGACTTTAACCTTCTGAAGAAGTGGTAAAGCTGGGTCATATGGTGGTTCTGTGCCTAGTTTTTTGAGTAACCTGCATACTGATTTCCTTAGGTTGCACTAATTTATAATCCCACCAAAAGTGTAAAAGTATTTCTTTTTCTCCATATCCTCTCCAGCATTTATTATTATTTGTAATCTTTATGACTGTCAGTCTGACTGGTGTAATATAAAATCTCAGTGTAGTTTTAATTTGCATTTCCCCAGTTGCTAATAGTGTTGAACATGTTTTCATAATTATTGTATTTCTTTTTTTAAAAAAATATCTGTTTAATTCCTTGCCCATTTATTAACTGGGTTAATTGATTTCTTGATGTTAAGTTTTTTGAGTTCTTTATATATTCTAGATGTTAATCCTCTGTCAGAATAGCTGGCAAAGATTTTCTCCCATCTGTGGGTTCTCTCTTCACATTCCTAATTGTTTCCTGTGCTGTGAAGCTTTTAGATTTGATGCCAACCCATTCATTAGCTCCTGGCATTGTTTCCTGAGCTTTAGGGAGAAATGTCCTATGGAGAAAGTCCTTGCCTGTGTCTATATGCTGCATAATTTCTAGTCCAATTCCTAGGTCTTTGATCCATTTTCAGTTTATTATGGTGCAGGGTGAGAAATATGTGTCTAGTCTCATTCTTCTACGTATGGAAATCCAATTTCCCCTGCATCATTTGTTTAAAAGGTTGTTTTTTCTCTTATGTATGTTTTTGGCACCTTTGTTGAGGATCAAAGGACTGTGTTCTGTTTTCTATTCTGTATAATTGGTCTATGTGTCTGTTTTTATGCCAATACCATGCAGTTTTTGTTAATATAGCTCTGTAGTATAATTTGAAGTCAGGTATTTTAATACCTCCAGCATGCTTTTTTGGCTTGGAACTGCTTTGGCTATTCTGCATCTTTTATTCTTCCAAATGAATTTTAACAGATGGGATGATCCAAAAGAGGGAAGGTATGGCAATGGAGATGGGTTGTGTTCTCACAGAGGGTGAGTCATGGAGTATGCTGGAGTGGAACTGCACAGGTGGGGCCTGCTGAGGGCAGGTGCTACTCTGGGAGGTCACCTTGGGAGTCAGCAGACATTCTCCCAAGTGTACTTTTCTTTTCACATCCTGCTCCTTCTTTGCCTTGATGTAATACAACTACCTTCTCCTGCAGCTTGACTGGAAAGGAAGTCTCACCAGTCACTTGCACACCCTAATAGATATAGTGTCATCTTACCAACCACATATGCTGGGTATTGAGGTAACGGAAGCAGTTAAAGTTTTGAGTATCACTTTGGTTTTGAATTGTTTCCATATTTTATGCTGCTATAGTCACATAATTTATCTGGTAAAAATTCCAAGGTTTTAAAATCTAGCACAATAGATGAAACCTGTTATATTCCTATCTTTCCAACGTTTTTATTACTTTTTATTGGCACAACTTTCAACAGTTTTATTTTAAAAAGTATGCTAAAATCATAAATCTGAAAATAACTTACAAAGAATTATTTTTGTAAAACATTTTCCTTTACTGCCATCAAATAATTTCTAATAGCCCTACTAGAGATCAAATATTCTAAAATATTTTTAAAATATTTTAAAAATTTGGGATGATTTTTAGCCAAAGAGTCCTGAGTTTGGGGGAAATGAAAATATATAATTCCAGAAATAATTTAGGAATATGGCATCAATAAAATTTTTCTTATTTACCTTTAAATTTTCAATCTTCAAAATACAAATTTCATTGCTACTCTATTTGAAAGTGTAATTTATAAAATTGTTAAACTCACTAAGATATCTTATGGCAAAAGGAAACAATGAAGTTGCTTTCTTAAGAGGAATTAAATGGAGAAAATGTTGAAAGTCCCAAAAGAATGGGGTTTTAGTAGAATTGCAAATGTTTAAATGTGGAAAAATAACATATTTCATTTGGATCTTTTTCTTGAGAGGTGATAAATAATACATTATTTATTAGTTTAAACTCTGCTTCAACTAAAAAAAAAAATTTAAAAGAGGAATAATTTAGATTCCTTTTCTGAAATGGCCGTTTCTCCTTCTGGAATCCACCTTTCAAGACTGCTGAATCTGGACAGAAAGGGTGGAAAAAGAAGAGGCTGGATCTCAGGAATACTGGGTTCTAGTTTGAAAGTGACCTCAAAAAAGAAGTTCAAGTAATAGGTTTCCTCCTCTGCACAACCAGATGTCACCTGAAGTGTGACACCAGTCTACAGAGGGGAGAAAGGGGGACTGGATCAGAGTGTTGGTAGGCATCATCAGGACAAGTGTGGTCAGAGGGGCATTCCTGAGGTTCAGGTCATCTAGCTGTGGGATCAGCATCTCTGGGGCCAAGGAGGGCTCAGTGCTTAACTGGGCTTTCCAATAAGGGAATTTGACTACAGTGGTTAAATAGGGAAGAAAGTCTCGAAATCTTGAATATTCTATTTTGGAAGCTTTGAGTGGTTACCAACTCATTTATAACACTAGGTAGATCTGTTTCCTTATGCTGGAGTAAATTAAAAAATCATTTATGGTTTTCACTGTATTTAATGTTCTGAATCCTCTATTTGGTGAGATGTGTCCATATTAACCAGGACATATAGAATTCACTTTGCTTACATCCTTTCAAAACATTTAAAATTCAATTAGAAAGAAAGCCTACAAAATTAGTGTTTCCTTGAAGAATATTTTGGTGAAGTTGAAATTTCTTTATCTACTTTCTTATAAAAAAGAATATGCTAAATTCTTGGGTACTGAATCTAAAAAAAATGTGCAGCTTCTAATTTACTGACACAAAATTTGTCCTGTAACAGCAGGTCACCATGGCATGTTATCAATTTGCGCTGAATCCACTGAGATGGCATGAAAGGGGCAAGGGTGTGCACACCCACCTCGAGGTCTGTGAAGAGCCCATAATTGTTCTGCAATATGGCATACATGCAGTGTGCCACTGTGACCGCATGCTTCCAGTTGTGGTAAGGAACCCGTCGGTAGTTCTTCTTCACAGACATAATGAAACGACACAACTTTTCAAGCTCAAAGCTGTGAGGAAAAGAAACTCTTAAAACCAAAGCCAGCAGAGAACCACTAATTTTCAAAAGAACCTCTGGCTGAGTTACACATTTCTACTCCTTACACATCTGCACTATAAGGATTCCCACATTGACTGCTGAACCATGAGTCCTGGAAAATGATCTCTTCTCTCCTCTTTCTCCAGCCAAAATGAAGCAAGAGATTCTTTCATGGGTTATGTTCAGATACATTAACTGTCCCACTAGGGATAAGCAGCAGAACCAGCATGCAGTCTCCATCATTAACCCCCATGCATGCACCTCATGTTTACCAGCATTTTCTAGGCCCCACAGTACTCAAAAAGACTATCACATAACATCATCTTGCTCAAAGATTTATTGAGCCAATATTTAAAAAAAAACATATTCATATTCACAAACTGCATATATATAGAGAGGGGGTAGACGGGGGAGGCAAAGGAGAGGGAGAGACTCTGTGAGGCATTTATGTCTAAATGAATCAAAAAGTGCAAAAGAAAATTAATGCTTGCATTTTAAGTTTGTGTATTTAAGCTGCAAAAGATCAGAGCTAAAGGCACAAAGGCCCATAGAACAGGCAGGTCAAATAGGTAGAGATTTGCAATGAGATCAAACTGTAATTACTGGCGATGTATCACACTTTAAATGTGGAGACTTTTTATTTTACACACAAACTGATAAGATATATAGTTGATGCTCTGTTTATGCAGAGCTTTCTAAGAGCTTCTAAAGCAGGTAATTCTGCCAAGAAGCAAGCTTTGCCTCCTTCAGCCACACAGCCTATAACATGTTTCTATGACAAATCTTAGATGTATGGCTGTGAACCAGACTTCAGACTGCTGGGGACTCAGCAGTTATTATGGAAAATCTGAAAAGGCTGCCGCTTTGTCCAACAAAACAGCCCATTTTAACTTGAATATTTAGAAACAAATTCATATATGTCATATTGAAAAGGATTGTAAACAAAAAGTGGTGAGGTGCATGAGCAAGGGAAGGAGGGAGTCATGTCACTGCAGACTGTACACAGAGAGCATTCAGAGCCTTCATACCAGGACGTCCCACAGGACCGATGAACCATGTAGACAAAGATCCCAGGCCACATGCTTTCAAAAGGACCAATGTCAAAGTGGAACCTGAAATTAAAAGGGTAGTTTATTACTAAAAGCAAGCAGGGCACACAGAAAGTAAAGAAAATCATTTAAACGTTTTTTTCTACCAAGAAACCAAAAAGACCCCAGGATCATGGCCATCATTTCTCTGACTTCTCAGTCACTCCTGCCTGGAACTGAAAGTTTTGGGGAGATTCCACATATTCCCTTAGGAACTTAATATATCTCTGGCTTTATTTCCATTAAACAATCCATTAAAAAAATATGCTGCTGTTGTAGTAATGTCTTATTTCAAACCTGCTTTACTAATTCTTTAAGAGAGTAGAACAAAACAGATGTTACTACTTTATGTAAATATATATACACACACACACACACACACACACACACACACACACACACACACACACATATATATGACTGCAGGACCAATATAGTTCTATAACATGTGCAATCAGAAAAATGAGAAATTATACCACATCTATGTATGATATATCAAAGTGCTTAAATGCATTCTACTGTCATATATAACTAATTAAAGCAAATTTTATAAATTAAAAAAAAGATTAGTTTTGACTAGTCAAGAACTTATTAAAAATTGAACCATTAAAAAAAGATGCTGCTGTTGTTATCAGAGAAATAAATAAGCACCAAAAGTTATACTATTGACACTAGAAAATGCATACGGGGGAATTTTATTGAAAGCATTGTTGTAGTTGAAATTGTTCTCCTTTTTAAACTGAAATAAGAATTTCATAAATATAAAAATGCAAAGTTATGTAGATGAAAACTTTATGTATCTGACATTAAATGTCATTTTGAATATTAAATATTACATAGTGTAAAGTACGCAACAGAGTAATAATACATGCTAGTATTTAGATTAATTCATCATAACTGTGATTCTAACTCTACAACCTGGTTTACTTTTTTTCAATGAAACTGAGAATCTGCTGCTGAAGAAACTAACCAAGTGAAATACTTACAGCTCAATTTCTTTGCAGAGCCGCATAGGGAGGTTGAAGCGCATGAGGCCTTGCCACTCCTCAGCAGTGCAAATGCTGTGGTAGGACAGCTTTTCCATGGTTACCCGGTAGATGCACTCTGAGTGCCGGATTCGATGATACATCTGGAAAGCAGACAAAAAATGAATTTAAACAATGCTGAATGCAGTTTGCCATTAAAGTTCAGAATCTGGCATAAAAGAATCATAACTACAATTGAAACTAAGGCAGAGTTAAGACTAAAGTTAACACTGTCCAAATTTCCATGTACACTAAAGCTATGTTTGCATGTGAACTTGAAGAAACAAAGGAACTTTTTTCTAATTATATCTCTCTTTTAAGTCTTATTTAATTCTGTAGCAAATATCTTTTTATCAGCCATAATCTTTAGGGATCGAAAAATCCATTTGTCTTCTGCGTATTATACTTTCAAATTTTTAGTAATAAAAATGCTGAAAACAAACCATACTCATTTTATTCATTTATTTATTTATTAGAGAGAGAGAGAGAGAGAGAGAGAGAGAGAGAGAGAGAGAATTTTTTTAATATTTATTTTTTAGTTTTCGGCGGACACAACATCTTTGTTTGTATGTGGTGCTGAGGATCGAACCCCGGCCGCACGCATGCCAGGCGAGCGCGCTACCACTTGAGCCACATCCCCAGGTCCATGCTCATTTTATTATCAGAAGATGAATTAATGTTAAAGATTCTAAGGAATTAAAGATCTAGGCAGCTTCTGAATCTATTAAAAGACAAACTTTAAATAATAACATGTCACCTGCATATCAATCTCAACTTTCTTGGGAAGATTCCATCATCTCTTTGCTACTTGTTGATTTCACTGTTTATTTTTCCCCATTCTTAAAGGATTAAATGTGGGTTACATTGGTGTTACAGCAGTGAATTCAAAGTAAAACACAAATTTGTACACAAAACTCATGGACTGTTGCACATAAATAGATTCATACATTAATGGAAAACGGGAAGGCACAACGTGCTACCACACAAACTCAGGATCTTGTGTATTTCTCTATATGCAAACATACTTTTGCAAATACTTCAAAACGAATATGTGAGATAAAATTAAAACAAGCAATGGAGCCAGTCAGTGGAAAATTCAATGCTTACATGTGTAAATTTGTAAGTAGATAAGGTTACTTAGAAAAGAGAACTTATAGGACAAACCCAAGAGCCCTCCAGATCAAATTAAGAGTGAAAATGTACTATAATGGAAGACTGAGTGACTTTCTTTATATATATATATATATATATATATATATATATATGTATGTATATGTATGTTGTAGTTGGACACATACCTTTATTTTATTTATTTTTATGTGGTGTTGAGGATCGAACCCAGGGCCTCATGTGTCTAATATAAGCTATAGCTCACAGTCTAAGGAGAAGACTACCTACTGTCTGCATAATAAAAAGAACCGAAACTAAATGGGTCAAGTACTAAGATATTTTCTTCATGTTACCCTTCAAAGTATTTATCATAGTTCTCAGTGATCTCAAAATCTTTCCTTAATAAACAAAAGTTAAAAATATTTACAACTAGAAAGCCTGCACTACAGAACATCCTCAGCAAAATATTCCATGAGGAATTGAAAAACAGCAATGAAAATCAGCACAGGGAGGTATTATAATAAAGGAAAAACTAATCTAAGGAGAAACCAAGTAAAGTTAAATACCAAAAATAAATAAAAATGACTGGGAATACAAATCATGACTCAATAATAACCCTGAATGTTAATGACCTAAACTCACCAATCAAAAGACATAGACTGGAAAAGACATATACTTTTTTTTTTTAAAGGCCCCAAAATATGCTACCTCCAAGAGACTCATAGGAAAAGACATTCAGAAACTGAAGGTGAAAGGTTGTGAAAAATCATAACACTCCCATGGTCGGCAGAAGCAAGAAGGGTTTTCCATCCTCATATCAAATAAAGTAGACTTCAAGCCAAAGTTACTCAAAAGGGATAAAGAAGGATATTTCATACTGCTTAAGGGAACCATTCATCAACAAGACATAACAATAATATATATATATATACCCCAAACAATGGAGTGTCTATGTTCATCAAATAAACTCTTCCCAAATTCAAGAGTTAAAGAGAGCACAACACAATAATGCTGGGTGACTTTAACACACCTCTTTCACCACTGGATTGATCTTCCAAACAAAAGCTGAACAAAGAAACTATAGAACTCAATGATACAATCAATAACTTAGACTTAACTGACATATATAGAATATTTCATCCTTCAATGAGCAAATACACTTTCTTCTCAGCAGCATATGGATCCTTCTCTAAAATAGACCATATATTATGCCACAAAGCAACTCTTAGCAAATATAAAGAAGTAGAGATACTACCCTGCATTCTATCAGATGATAATGGAATGAAATTAGAAAAAAATGATAAAATAAAAAATAAAAGCTACTCCAACACCTGGAGACTAAATAATGTACTGAATGAACAATGGGTTGCTAAAGACATCAAGGAGCAGATTAAAAATTCTTAGAGGTGAATGAGAACACAGATATAATGTATTGAACTCTCTGGGACACTAAGAAGGCACTAAGAAGGACACTAAGAGGAAAGTTCATTTCATGGAAGTCAGGAAATAATTAAATCAGAGCAGGAATCCATGAAATTGAAAAAAAAAAGTAACAACTGAAAAGACTGACAAAACAAAAGTTGGTTCTTTGAAAAAATAAATAAAACTGACAGACCCTTAGCCATGCTAACAAAGAGAAGGAGTGAGAAAACTCAAGTTATAACAAACAGTGATGAAAAAGGAAATATCACCACAGACACTACAGAAATACAGAAGATAATTAGAAATTATTTTGAAAACTTGTAGTCCAATAAAATAGAAAATATCAAAGGCATCAACAAATTTCTATAGTCACATGATTTGCCCAAATTGAATCAGGATTATATACACAATTTAAACAGATTGATTTCAAGTGACGAAATACAAGACACCAACCAAGAATAGCCCAGGACTGGACGGCTACACAGCCGAGTTCTACAAGACCTTTAAAGAAGAACTAATACTAATACTCTTCAATGTATTTCAGGAAATAGGAAAAGAGGGAGCACTTCCAAACTCATTCTATGAGGCCAATATCAGCCTGATTCCAAAACCAGGCAAAGACACATCAAAGAAAGAAGACTTCAGACCGATGTCTCTAATGAACATAGATGCAAAAATCCTCAATAAAATTCTGGCAAATCAAATACAAAAACATATCAAAAAGATAGTGCACCATGATCAAGTGGGATTCATCCTAGGAATGCAAGGTTGGTTCAACATACAGAAATCAATAAATGTTAATTCATCACATCAATAGACTTAAAGATAAGAATTATATGATCATCTCAATAAGATGCAGAAAAAGCATTTGACAAAATACAGCACCCTTCATGTTCAAAACACTATAAAAATTAGGTACAACAGAACAATCCCAACATTGTAAAGGCTATCTATGCTAAGCCCCAGGCCAATATCATTCTAAATGGAGAAAAATTGAAGGCATTCCCTCTAAAAACCAGAACAAGACAGGGATGCCCTGTTTCACCACTTCTATCTAAAATAGTTCTTGAAACACTGTCCAGAGCAATTAGACAAAAGAAATTAAAGTGATATGAATAGGTAAAGTAGAACTCAAATTACCACTATTTGTCGACGATATGATTCTATAAGATATAGATCCCACCAGAAAACTTCTAGAACTAGTAAATGAATTCAGCAAAGTAGCAGGATATAAAATCAACACTCACAAATCAAAGGCATCTCTGTAAATCAGTGACAAATGATCTGAAAGGGAAATGAGGAAAACTACCCTATTTATAATAGCCTCAAAAAATAGAATAACTGTGAATCAACCTAACAAAAGAGGTGAAAGACCTCTACAAAAAAACTACAGAATGCTTAAGAAAGAAATTAAAGATGACCTTAGAAGATGGAATGATCTCCTTTGTTCCTGGATAGGTAGACATAGTATTGTCCAAATGACCATGCTGCCAAAAGCATCATACAGCATTATAATGCAATTCTAATCAAAATCCCAATGAAATTCCTCATAGAATAGAAAAAGCAGTCATAAAATTCATCTGGAAAAATAAGAGACCCAGAATACCTAAAGCAATCCTTAGCAAGAAGAGTGAATCAGGTGGCATCACTATACAACCTTAAACTATACTACAAAGCAATACTAACAAAAATAGCATGGTATTGGCACCCAAATAGACTGGTAGACCAATGGTACAGAATAGAGGACACAGAGACTAACCCATATATAATTACAGTTATCTTGCATTAGACAAAGGTGCCAAAAACATACACTGTAGAAAAGATATGGTACTGGGAAAACTGGAAATCCATATGCAACAAAATGAAATTAAATCCCTCTCTCTCACCTGTACAAAACTCAACCCAAAGTGATTCAAGGACCTAGTCATCAAACCAGAGACACTGTGCAGGTGTATTAGAAGAAAAAGTAGGCCCAAATCTCCATCATGTTGGATTAGGCCCCAACTTCCTTAATAACACTCTTATAGCACAAGAATTAAAATCAAGAATTAATAAATTGGATGGATCAGTGAGGTGAATAGAAAGCCTACAGCTTGGGAGCAAATTTTTACCACTTTCACATCAGATAGAGCACTTATCTCTAGGGTATATAAAGAACTCAAAAAGCTAAGCACCAAAAAACAAATAACCCAATCAATAAATGTGCCAAGGAACTGAACAGACACTTCTCAGAAGGTGATATACAATCAGTCAACAAATATATGAAAAAATGTTCAACATCTCTAGCAATTAGAGAAATGCAAATCAAAACTACTCTAAGAGTTCATCTCACTCCAGTCAGAATGGTAGCTATTAAGAATACAAATAACAGTAATTGTTAACAAGGATGTGGGGGAAAAGGCACACTCATACATTGCTGGTGGGACCAAAAATGCAAATGGTGCAGCCAATATGGAAAGCAGTATGGAAATTCCTTGGAAAACTGGGAATAAAACCACCTTTTGACCCAGCTATCCCACTCCTCAATCTATACCCAAAGGACTTAAAAACAGCATACTACACAGACACAGCC